GAACTCTGGGCTTTGTGCTTGCAGGGCAGGTAGTCTACCATTTGAGCCATACCTCTGGCCCCTTTTTGTGGTAGTTATTTTGAGATAAGTTCTCTTATTGGCTGGGGTGAACTGGACTGCAGGCATCCTATTTATGCTTCCTGTGGTAGCTGGGATGGCAGGTGCATGCCACCATGCCCAGCTTTTTCTTCGAGATGCAATCTCAGGAGCTTTTTTGCCCTGATTGGTCTGGAACTACAGCCCTCCTGATCTCAGTCTCTGGAGGAGCTGGGATGACAGGTATGGCTACCAGCATCCCGGTCTTTTGATGGCGGCCATGCTAAGATTCATCTGGAGATACCGCACTGTGGTTTTGATATGCATTTCTCTTAGGATGAACAATTCTTCTCATATGTTCAGTAGCCATGAGTACATATTCTTTGGGTGTGTTTTCAAGACCCTTGCCCATGTTTTAATGGGGTTGCCTTCTGATTTACAATGAAATTCCCTTTGCAGTCTGAATATTAACTGTTTATCAGATACATGGTTTGTAAATGCTCTTGCCTGCCATCTCCTGCCCTTTCCCTCTGCCGACTTCACATGCTGCAGTTTGCAGTTTGATAAAAATCCCATTTGTCTAGGTCCCCCCCCCCCCTTCCTTTTTTTCTTTTACTGCTTATGGTCTTGGTGTGATATTCAAGAATCACAGCCAAACCCCGTGTTCTGAAGCTTTCTCTGTTTTAGTCTAGGATTTTATCTGAAGCTTTCTCTGTTTTAGTCTAGGATTTTACAGCTTTAGTCTCACATTTGGGAGCTTACTCCATTCTGAGTTAATTTTCATATATGGTATAAGGTAAGGTCCAGCCTGTTCTATTTTTTAATTTTTAGATTTAATTTTTTTTGTTTGAACTCAGGACCTGTGTGCTGTCCCTTGGCTTTTTCACTCAAGGCTTGGCGCTCTACCACTTGAGCCACATATCCACTTCACCAGCTTTCTGCTGGTTAGAGTGTTACAGACTTTCCTGCCTGTACTGACTTTGAACCTGGATCCTCAGATCTCAGCCTCCTAAGTAGCTAGGATTACAGGTGTGAGGCACCGGACACTTGGCTTTTGCTTTAAATCTCAGTTGAGGGAGGAATATGTTTAATAACAGGCCAGGGATTGACAAAGACTAGCTTTACCCACATCAGTATTTGGACATGAGTGAGTTTTCCAGATCTCTGAGAAGCAGGTAATAACAGGTCATTCAACAGTGCGTCATTCAACTATGTTAACAAAGTCCAATACCTCCTACATGCCTGGAGCAATGCCAGCCACTCAACAGTGAGTACAACTTGAATAATTCGCAATGCGGTGGTCCCATGGTCAAGCTGCAGGGGGTCAGTGCCTCAGGCCTGTCATCCTAGCTACTCGAGATCAAGGATCATGGTTCAAAGCCAGCCTGGGCAGGAAAGTCTGTGAGACTCAATTGGTCAGTGAAATCTAGAAGTGGAGCTGTAGTCCAAGTGGCAGAGTGCCAGCCATGAGCAAAAAGGCTAAGGGACAGTGTCCCCATGTCCCGAGTTCAAGCCCTAGTACCAGCACACATGTATGCGTACGTGCACACACACATACACACGTATACACAAGTCAACAGGAGTGCTGGATGAGGCTGGCTGAGGGGGAGCACCTGCTGTCCAGGTTCTATTATGGAGTAGAGCACATGCGCTGTTTGGTCACAGTGAGGTCATGACCAGCATGTGCTTCCTCATCGGGAGAGGAACCGCATCCTCTGACTTCTGACTGAGAGGGAAGCTGTGAGGTCACCAGCAGGCCAGGAGGACCCCCACCCCCACCCCCAACACAGGAGGCCTGCCCTCGCCCACCCGCTGGGAGTCCCATCAGTTCTTTGGTCAGAGAAGAAAATCTGCAGTGTTTGTCTGGGATTCACAGGGCCAGCAGGTGCCACCCTGCTGCGGCTGGAGCCCAGCCCTCCCGCCGGAAGGGGCCAAAGACAACACCACGTTCCTCACAACTTCAAGTCCAACTGCCTTTAATGAAATAAAAAACAACAACAAAAAACCAACGGTGCTTGGCATAATGTTTGTGGTCACAGTATAAAACAATTACAATTAGTTCATATAACATTGGATATAGAGAAGAAAATCCACAAGATCTTTTCTTTGTGGAAACTCCACAGATCCCTGTGGACCAGCTAAAGAAAGAAAGCCCGCCTTGTTCCCCACGATGCACACGAGGAGAATTTGGTCCAACAGCAGAGGGTTTGCCCAAGTCCCAGCTCGCTTCTTCCTCTGTTGTCGTCAGTGAAGCTAAAGTAAAAGAAAAAAAAGCAACAACAAACAGCTTTTCTGAAAGTAGCAAGTTGTGTAGTATTGCTTATTGTTCCTGCCAAAAAAGGCTCAGTCTTTGGCTAACAGATGTCAATATCAAAATCGTGGCCAGAGCCACTGGGGACGAGACGAGGGCAGAGGGGGCGGGGCGTGGGCGTACACAGAAACACATTTCTAAATTGGGATTTCATCCAGCTGGTGAGTGAAGAGTTCTACTGTCCCATGGAAATCCAAAAGGTGGTTAAAAGCCAGAGTTTGCGTTTTCCTTGTTTTCTTTCTTTACAAAGTGAATACGGATGTAAACATCATGAAGTAAACGATTAGAAGAGACCTCCAGCTTCATGGAACAGCTTAGGCTCTTTCTGGGGGGATGTGTTTGTATTTGAGAAAAGGTCAGCCTTCTAGAAAGTTCCTGCACAATCTCCTGCGTGCGAGGCTTTCCCTCCTCCAGCCTCTCCTGAAGAGCACTTTGTGGGAGCCCTATTTGGTAGTCAGATGGGGGCACCTCACACCTTCACAAGACATATCCTGCACAAAGACCTTGGCACAATACCCTGATGTCTGATCCTTCCTACAATTCCCAGGTGACTTGGGGTTGGCCCAAAGGACACAGGAGGGTCAAAGGTGGGAGCCTGGGACAACTCAGCCTTGAACTACATCAGTGTGAAAGGCCAAGGTACGAGGGTGGGCACACACACTTTTCACCACCCAGGGTTCAGCGACCTAAGTCTCTGGGGGACAGTGGCCCCTCCGGCGGCAGGGGTTCTTATGTCTACCCTGAAGGCCTGTTACCATCATCCTGAATCTTCTCGGCATCGATGCCAGGGTTCAGTGTGCCCCCTGTGCCGACATGCGTGTGGTACCTGTTTGTTTTCCCACCTCCGCTGAAACAGCAGTGAGATGACATGCAGATGACACCCCAATAGTGCCATACTCCCTCCACATCCCTGCCCCCCATTTCCTCACTCAGCTCCAGGCCTGGAGCTAGCTGCAGCCACCGGCGTTAGCACAGAAGCCGGGGCTTCTGCCGCAGGAGCGGTGCCCACAGTGAACTCAGACAGGGCAGGAAGGGGGAACGGGGGAGCCGGGAGAGACAGGCTGCATGTGAATGGCCATCCTTTCCCTTTTGTATTTCTTTATTGCTCAAAACAAGTGAATCTTTTTTTTCCTCTTGGAAGACAGGGCATTATGAGATCCTTCAGAGCCAGAATTAATGACAGAGGATGTCAACGGCGCACGCGTTCCCAGTGAGCCCCAGATACTGGGACGCTTCTGCTTATGGAAGGCCAGTGCTGTGTACAGAGCAGGGAGAGGGGCGGAGGGGAGGGGAGAGCTGGGCTCTGAGGGGCGCTGTGGGCACAGGAGATCCTGGAGGATCTTTCTGCCCACCTTCCTCTTCCAGGGGGGCGGGCAGGCAGCACAGCCCCTGATCCCGCTTTGCGCCCACACACTCAGGAAGAGAAGAGAGCACAGTTCCTCTAGGCAGTGCTTGTGTGTGCCAGTCCTGGGTCTTGAACTTAGGGCCTGGACACAGCCTTTTCACCAAGGCGTATCTCTACTTCTGGCATTTTGCTGCTAACTGGAGATAAGTCTCACTTTCCTGCCTAGGCTGGCTTCAAACCTTGATCTCCTGAGTAGCTAGGATGACAGGTGTGAGCCACCGGCTCCTGACTCCCGTAAGCATGTTTTGAATTTCCCAGGTCAGTCAAGTGGCCATGGCTCTCACAGGAAGGAGCAGGCCCTGTGTGTCTCCCCATCTCCAGTGCCGCACACGGGGCAGGAGGGAGCGAGCAGAGGGTGCTCCTCAGCCTCCCCCAGCCTGGGCTGCAGAAAGCCCCATCCAGAAGCACTCCTGCCCCGGCCCCAGGGCTCCTGCCAGGCCAGGCAGCCTCCCAGCATGCTTCCTGCTTCCCCCGCCCCCTCCGGCCCTGCTCCTCCCTCCTAACTGGCTCGGGCAGAGGTGATACTGTGTTCTGGTTCATTCTCATTCTTAAGGCTAAGGTGGTGAGCTAAGGTGCTCGGCGGAGTCCAAATCCAGACCCCAAGGCTACCATCTCATCATTCCCACAGAAACCAACACAATTGGGAAAGGCCCAAAGAAAAAAGAAAGTTAAATGCATTTGGGCTCAAGGAGAGTTATATGCTCCAAATTTAGATTTCAAATGTAGACAACCACACCCTCCCCCCCAAAAACAAGGCGTGTGGCGGGGTTGTAAAAGCCACAAGAGCCTTCAGCCCAGGCCTGTGTCACCTCAAGGCCAGGGCGGAGGGAGAGTGGTGAGCAGTCCCTTAACCCAGGACCAGCATGGACACAGGCACGGTTCACACCCACTGTGGAGAACTGCATGCCACTGCCGGAGCCTCCCTGCAACCCTGCCCACCAAAGTCACCAACACACACACATACACACACTCGGAGATCTGTAAGAGGAGAAAAAAAAATTTAGGCAAAGGTTTAACCATTAAAAAGCCGCAGTCAGGAAAGAGCACACACTCGAGATTGTTCTAGAGCAGAAAGTGCTGTGGGAGGGAGCTGTGTCAAGGTAAACATGTCCGCGCTCATGACATGCCAAAAGGAGAGCGCAAACTCCCACCTGAGATAGAGAGGACTGGTTTCTAGTGTGATATTTCATTTCCAAACGTTTCTGTCCTCACCCACCATCCCTGGAACATTCTGGATGGCTCAGCTGGGCGTTCAGTCCATCGCCTCACCCTACTGTCCTGGAACATTCTGGAAGGCTCTGGCTGGGCGTCTAGTCCATCTTCTCACCCCACTGTCCCTGGAATGTTCTGGAAGGCTCCATCTGGGCATCTAATCCATTTCCATGGACATGAGTCGACGACGCTCCCGCCGCGTCTCCTGCACTTCCTTCCTGCAACACCAGTGGGCGCTGCAGTAGCCGATGAGGCAGGACAGGAGGCCGACCACGGTGGACAGCCCCACGCCGATGAGGAGCGGGTACTTGAAGGCAGTCAGCACTGGGGGAGACCAAGGAGAGGCAGTGAGTGCTGTGCAGGCAGCCGTGGGGGACCTGCGTGCCCCTACCCCACCCCGGGGGCTATCCCTGGGGATCAGCCCGCATAGATTAGCTGCCTCAGTTCTTCCCCCTTGACAAAGTGAGCAAGTGTTCCCCCGCCCTGCTCCATTGGGGAAGGCAGGAGAACGGCTTCGCTCGCTGCCTTTGAATGTCAACTTGCTTTTTTAGGGGTCTGGCAGGAGATTGATTTTTAAAAGTCGGGATAAGGGCACTGTGCGTTCAGCAGCAGATGCGTCCTTAAAAATACCACGCATAAATCAGCCCTGCGCACGGGAGGACTCCAGTGTGCTGAGCAGCTATTTTAGGTAACGCTGTAGTAAATTATCGAGCAAAGTGAATAATCACTCCCCTACTTGTTTGGGAAGAGCTCGAGTTTTCATATGGAATTAACTTCAAGGGAAGAATTTAAGATGAGAATACAGTAACACATGACAAGTGTCGGAAATGCACATGCTGTGTGGAGCCCCGGAGACACCAGCACTCCTCGACTGGATGATGTCTCATCTCACGTCTCACGGGAGATGACACTCCCACTGCACAACAGAGATGGATCAGAAAGGCCATGTGGCCCGTGAAAGCTGGGCTCCTGTCTGTCTCCTTACACAGGCACATGACTAAGAAAACACGCCCCACCGCCTGCTGCTGTGCAGTGGCGCCTGGACTTCCGTACTCTCCATGGACTTATGCCAATTGATTCTTTTTTCTCTATTTGCTTTTTTAAAAATGATACTATAAAGGTGAGATACAGAGGGACTGCAGTTTCATAAGTCAGGTAAAGAGCACATTTCCTTTTGGACAATGTCACCCTTCCCTTGCTCTGTTTTTCTTTCCTATCCCACCAAAAGTTGTATAGTTTACTTTCAACATAGCATCCAGTGAGATAATTACTTGGATTTTTTTTTTTTTTTTTTGCTGGTGAGACAAAGGATTTTTGTGGTGGTTGTTGTTTTGTGCTTGTACCAGGGCTGAACTCAGGACCTGTGCGCTGTCCCTGAGTTTTTTCACCCCAGACTGGTGCTCTGTCACTTGAGCCACAGCTTCTCTGCTGGCTCTTTACTAGGTAACTGGAGATGAGAGTCTCATGGACTTTCCTGCCCAGGCTGGCTTTGAACTGCACTCCGCAGCTCTGCAGCCTCCTGAGTAGCTGGGATTACAGCTGTGATGGCCAGTTCCCAGCAAGTCTTGCAAGTCATTTCCTGATGGTGCCTGTGGCACATGACAATAAAGCTAGGAACCAGCAGGGCTGCTTTTGCTCCTTCTGGACAGACTGAGCCCAGAGAGAAAGCAGACTGCCGTCGTGGCACGTTCCTCAAACCGGAAACCTGGATGGCTATCAGCTGCAGCTGCAGCCAGGCGGGAGAGGCTCTACCCTTGGGCCCATGTATGCAGCGGTGGGTGGCACCTACCGTCCATCTTCACGGTTATGAAGACAGGCTTGGAGTGAATCTCTGCCTCCTTCTGCCAGGAACCTGTCGGTGACTTCACCCATGGTGTCACGGCACAAAAGTAGTTGCCGAAGTCGTGGTCCTCGGAGTCATGCACCTGTAATAGGAACTCCAGCGCACCCACGCGCTCCAGGCTCAGGCCACTCTTCCCGTGGCGTGGAGCTGTGGTGACAATCCCCTTACGGTCCAGCGTGGACAACAGCACCGGGTCCTCGTCCAGACCAAAGGAGTGTACGGCAAACCAGACCACGTCGAAGGCCATGGAGTCTACATTGCCAAAAACCCCGGTCAGTGCCATGAGGAAAATGCACATGGCCCCCGCATGGGAGGGAGCTGTTTAGCAGAATCTTATTCCAACCACAGGATGTGGTCCAAGCTCCTCCCTGGAGTCCAGGTTTGTAACCATACTACTGCTACCGCCCAGCCTAGGGAGCCCTGGGAGAGAATTTGGGGCCATGAGCCCCCCTCAGACAGCCCCAGAGGTAGAGCTGGCAGACAGCTGCAAGGCACGCTGTGCCCTCCTCACCCCCTACCCTCTCCCCAGATAGTGTCCCTTGACAGGACAGCCACATGACCCAGACTGGAAAGACACTGAACTGATAAGGGACAAAATGCCAGACTGCAAAAATGACATGGCTCACAGCCCCAAGGTGCTGCCGCTGGGGTATAAAGTCCTGAGAAATCAAGGTTGTAACAGCCGAAATAAATTCATGTGAGCAGAAGAGCAGAAAGTGACAGAGAAGCCAATCTCCCAGAATGTAAAGGGTACGCAGGCCTCCTCAGCCCGGCTCCCGGTCTCGGCTTCTGTCAACAGTGCCAGCCACGCCAGTGACCAAGGGCCACGGGCCTTTGCTTTGCTTTTTTTTTTTTTGGTAAGACCAACCCCAGGACCTTGTACACGTGGCACAAATGATCCACCACTGAGCCACACCTCTGGCCTAAATCTTTTGACATTCCTAGGCACCAGTGGCTCATACCTGTCCTCCCAGCTACTCAGGAGGCTGAGATCTGAGGATCACAGTTCAAAGCCAGCCCAGAGAGGAAAAGTTCATGAGACTCTTACCTCCAATGAACTACCAGAAAACCAGAAGTGGAGCTGTAGTTCAAGTGGTAAAGCGCTAGCCCTAACTGAAAAAGCTCAGGGACAGCGCCCAGGTCCTAAGTTTGAGCCCCTAGTACTGGCATGCATACACACACACACACACACACACACACACACATATTTGTACAACTTTTGGTACAAAGCACCTTTTGCTGAACAAAAAATAACATCGACTTATTTAGGAAAGGTAAACTAACAACTTCAAAAAGCACATGAGGGGCTGGGAAGGTGGCTTAGTGGTAGAGCACTTGCCTTGCATGCATGAGGCCCTGGGTTCGATTCCTCAGCACCACATAAGCAAAAAGAAAAAAGCCGGAAGTGGCGCTGTGGCTCAAGTGGTAGAGCGCTGGCCTTGAGCTGAAGAGCTGAGGGACAGCGCCTAGGCCCAGAGTTCAGGCCCACGACTGGACCCCCCCCCCCAAAAAAAAGCACATGAGAACGTAAATAAATGATTCTCAGACATTCCACATTTAAAACAAATGTAAGCCAGGTGCTGTTGGCTCACACTTGTAATTCTAGCTACGCAGGAGGTGGAGATCTGAGGGTTGTGGTTTGAAGCCAGCCCAGGCAGGAAAGTTCATGAGACTCTTATCTTCAATAAACTACACAGGAAAAGCTGGAAGTGGCGCTGTGGCTCAAGTGGTAGATCACTAGCCTTGAGCACAAAGAAGCTCAGGAACAGCACCCAGGCTCAGAGTTCAAGCTCCAGGACTGGCAAAATATATATAATAGATATATAATAAATGTAATATAACATAATACATAGTACAAATAATATATGTATATTAAGCAGGAATGGCTAAAACCCTACCAAAAATGACATCTTGTTTCGGCTCTTTGGAAAGCAGCCTCTTTCTCTCGGGCTGACTCACTGAGGTGCTCGTGTGTCATTTTCTAGTTCCTAGTGAGTGAGGAGGGGGCCGGGGAGGGGGACGGGGGGGGGGGGCGAGAGTGGTTCCTCACCTCCTCCCCGGCACCAGGGCATAGTGGTCCCAGGCCCTGCCCGGTGTGCTGGGGATTCATGCTGTCATGCACAGGTGCTGGTGTTTTCTGAATACAGCATGCAGGAGGAACCATGTCCCCACCACCCATGACCACACTCTACTCCCCAACTCTGCACCTGTGCAGAGTGCCAGCACCAGGGCTCCCCAGCGAGTCACTGCATCCGTCCTGTTCTTGAAGCTACTGAGCACAGCACCCTACAACCCAGCACGTGCCCCGCGATCTCCGCACTGGGCAGACATGATCCTGCGAGTGGTGCTCCACTAGCAGGTGCTCTCTATACCTGTCATCGTAGATGCTAGGAGCTAAAGCACTAAAGCCAAGACCCCCCCTGGCTGGCCTGGTGGTGGTCATGCACGTCCCCGCTGCTCCAGCCTTTGCACAGACTGAGCTGCATGCATGAACGTGTGGTGTCGGGATCCCTACTACATCCCAGCAACACAGTGCAGACCTGTCCTGACTCGTGCCCTTGCCTGCCCTCCTCCCCCACTCCCCTGAGCTAGGTGTCTCCTGAGTGCTCCCTCCACAAATCTGTGGTACGCCGCTAGAGACACTGCCCAGCCCCCCACCCCAGTCACTTATGCAACCTCTTCCAAATGAGAACTATCGTCCAGCCCATAGGCCGCTTGAAGAAACCAATTTGCAGTCTGTGTTTAATTATTCAGGGTCTGCAGCTACACATCGCCCAAGAGTGTAGCGCGGCCAGCTGTGAAGGCACCGGTGGGGTGGAGGGAAGATTTTTATAGGACACAACTGTGGCCTTGGCCGTGAGAAAGCACACTTCTTGTAGGAGACACCATGCACGATCATGGCTGGGGGGGAGGGGGGGCGGAAAGGGGAGAGTGGTAAAAAAAAAATAGCTTTACACTATGCTGACTTTTATTTTGTTGTGTGCCGGTACTAAAGCTTGAACTCAGGGCCTCACGCTCTGTTACTCAGAGCCACTTCTGGCTTTTAATTGGAGACGAGTCCAATGGACTTGTCACTGTCTAGGCTGGCTTGGAACCTTGATCATCAGATCTTGGCCTCCTGAGAAGCTAGGATTACAGGCGTGAGGCACGATGCCTGGCTGCTTTGTGTGTGCCCTTAACTGGGCCATCAGTGTCCTAGATACGCTTTGATTCTGCCACTCAGTCCTCTGTTCCTAGCACCTAACAAGACTCAGGCACGTCAGGAGCTCAGTAATATCTGAGTGAATGAATGAATGAATGACAGAGTAGGAGTAGGAACCTGCTAGTGGATTTCATACTCATCTGGGATCATGCCTGGAGACACCCCCACCCCCCCAGCCCTGATAACTCTGATGGAACATCTGGGTTTGTTTCCAGCTGTGCTTCCATTCAACCAGGCCAGGCCGGGCAGGGGCGGAGGGGGGGAAGAGGGGGACAGGGTAGCACACCAAGTGCTCTCGAGAACTGGATGAGGACGGAGCGTGGTACCTGGGTCCAGCATGGCGCCCTCCACGGTCAGGATGCAGAAGACCTTGATAGGCTGGCCACGGGTGACAGAGGGTGTGTCTGAGTGCACAGAGGCGTTGAACACTGGACCTAGGAGAAAGCAGCATGGCCCCATCAGTTTCACACGGCCCCATGCCATGCCTGCTCTCCAACACGGTTCAGCATGGCCCACTTCCCCCAGAACTGCCTGGAAACTCCCCATGTAGCCATCCTAAGGCACCGGCCTTCCACGCAGACTCGAGCCCAGCACCCCCCGGGAACTCGGTCTGGAGCTGACACTGAGTGAGAGCTCTTCCCAGAAGTCTCGACCCAGCTTTTCCTTTTGCTTCTCTCATGACTGCCTCACTCTCATGTCCAGCCCCCCCCCCCCCCAGCTTGGCACCACCTGAGTGTTCCTATGAGGTGGGTCGCGCTGGCCAGGCTATTGGCCAGTTAGGGGACAGGGACTGAGCCGTGTGTGGCGGGGACAGGCCCTGCTGAAGAAAGGAGACAAATGTGACAGCAGTCTTTCTAAGGAGTGGGCTGGGAGCACAGAGGGCACGGTGGCTCTAACCTGCGGGCAGGGGGGCTGAGACAGCCTGGATATTCCTTTAAGAGACCACACAGGCCACACCGGAGCTCTCGGTCTTCACTTTGAATCCAAAAACTAGAGCCGAGTACAAAGTAAACATAAAACCTCTATCCAGTGAGTCAGGTTGTCCTGGCTAATACGGAAAACCAGTTTGAATCTACCCTGGGCAAAGTCCAGAAGACCTGATCTCCAATGAATCAGGAAAGACAGGCAGGAGGTGTGGCTCAAGTCATAGAGAACCAACCTTGACTGAAAAAGTCAAGTGAGAGCATGAGGCCCTGAGTTCAAACCCAGTACTGGACAAACACAAAACCCAAACAAAAAACCCCCCCATCTCTCTAGTCAAAATTTGTCTTGCACACCTCCCTGAGAACACAGTAGACAAAATGACTGCTTTTAACTTGTCAAAGAACCGGAGCAGTTCCCAGCTCTAAACAAAGCTAATCCCAACAAGTCAAGGTTTACCTTATCATCCTAACTCCTAAAACCCAACAACAGGCAAACCAGAGAGAAGGTTCCAGAACATTCAGTGCTGCAGGATTTCCCATGTGTTTCCTGAGAAGCAAAGGGGACAGCCCTGGCTACTGGCTCCAAAACTCATTAGAAGTTAAGGGAACCACTGTTAGCTTCTCATTCAGAATTACCAGAAAGAAACAGCCATCAGACAGACGGACAGACAGGGAGAGAGATGAAGTAATTGAAAGAATATTAGATTTTCATTTCAACCCAATGCCCAATAAAACAAATAGATTGCTTTCACGACAGGAAGTGTATAAAGAATCTGTGTCATTCAGAATGTGGAAAGCCTGGAAAGTTCCATGTGTTCTGGAGTGCATGGGAACTCTGGACTCGAGAGGCCAAGCCAGGATGGCCGCCCAGCGCTGGCTTCCGAGCCCCCGGCCCCCAGCTGGGTCCGCAGCCTGGGAGGGAAGCTGAGCCTGGCTGTCCTGGGCAGGGGTGGCCTACCTATGGTCATTTGTGATTTGAGCTCTGAGCAGACCCCACTGTCGTCAGAACCGGGGCTCGAACTCAGGGCCTCATATCCACCCTCACCCTTTTTTCTTTTTTTCCAGATGATTAAGTCCATAAATTTCATAGAACTGCACTAAGAGGCTTTCTTTGGCCTCTTATAAGAGAATACAAAAGGATAAAATATTAAGAAATCTCCATATTGGATTTATGTCCCTATTTATTTAATTGGAAACAGCACATATTTACTTCCTTTAGACAAATGTCACCTTTTTCTTTTTCTTTTGAAACAGAACTCCAAATGCCTTCCAGGCTGTAAGTTCGAGTTCTCACTCTCCCTGTTGGCTCGGCTGTGGGACTGGTGGGGGGGGCAGGGGGTGGGTCAGGGCTGCCAGGCAGGCGAGGGCTGGGAAGAAAGGTTCCATTGTGGGGCCTGTTCCCAGGGGTGACTTCCTTCTCTCCCACGAGATCAACGGCTGACTGGCAACACGGGACGTTTTCCTCATGGCTGTTTCTGGGACAATGGTGTGCTGTGCAGAGGTCTGTCTGGGTAGTGTCACAGGCAACTTGCACAGGACCCAGACCACAGCGGGCCCTCCCGGACTCCTGTGAAATCTCAAGGACCCAGTTCTAGGTATTTTAAAGTAAGGATGGACACAAAAATGGACATTCACCAAAGACTCCCATAGCAATGTTCTGAGCAGCATTGTTTACAGCAGTCAGGAACCAGAAACCACAAAATGTGGTGGATCCATAATAGAATATTATTCAGTGATTAAAGAAAAACCATGAAGTGAGCCATGCTGGTGGTTCTCACCTGTCATCCTAGCTACTCAGGAGGCTGAGATCTGAGGACCGCAGTTCAAAGCCAGCCTGGGCAGGAAAGTCTGTGAGACCCTTATCTTCAACAAACCACTAGAAAACTGGAAGTGGCGCTGTGGCTCAAAATGGATGAGCACTCACCTTCAGCAAGTTCAAGCCCCACAACCGACACAGTTTAAAAAAAAAAAAAGCATGAATACTGAGGCATGTTTCAGCATGGTGGCCTTTGAAACATACGATACATTAAAATAGATAATGAGACCACATCTTACAGAGCTTGTGTGAATGAACAGAACAGAGATACAAAGTAGATTAGCGGCTGGCAGGGGACAGGAAAGGAGAAGGCAGGATTGAAGGGTGTTGGCTGGGTGTTGTTTGGGTATTAAGAAAATGTTCTAATAATTGCACACCCAGGTTCAACTGCTGCTCAGTACACCACAGGCAAGTCAGGGAAGCAGCCCAGAGGCCTGACAATGAGTGAGCAGATGAAGAAAATGTCTCTCTCTCTCTCTCTCTCACACATACACACAGAACTCTTCCCATCCATTGGGAAGAATATGGACCTGGGGAAAAATTTACATTGAGTGAAATCATGCTTAGACAAAGGGAGCATGTTCTCACTTGGATGTGGAAGTGAGAGCCAAACAACAAGCATACAAGAAACATACGCAGGGTCTACGCAGACACACGCAAACACACTAACGGATGGTGTACGCAGCGGGGATCCCAGTGGTGTAACTGCTTTGAACAACCAACTTAGAGGGTAACAAAGGAATACCAGGGAGCTGGGCTGTTGCTGGGAGGTACAGTGCACAGAGAGGAAGGGCAGGTGAAGGGTCATAATTTCAGCGCGTGAACATGGAGTGAGGGAAGCGTGAGAGGATGGGTGGGGCTGGGAGAGTGGGGGGAGAATGATGTAGGGGTGACACTGATCAAGATGCGTCGTATTCACAAATTGTCACGTTAAATTAAAACCTCTTTGTACAAGTACTTAAAGATGATTTTAAAAAAAAAACACTTCTAAAAATGGCTTTTGGTGATGGTGGTTTCTATGTGTGTGTTGGCGGGGGGTGTCAGTACTAGGGCTCAAACTCAGAACCTTATGCTTTCACTTGCATTTTTCACTCAAAGCTGGTGCTCTACTGTTTGAGCAGCACCTCCACTCCAGCTTTTGGCTAGCTAATTGGAGGTAAGCATTTCACAGACGTTGCTGCCAGGCTGGCTTACTTAGAACCTTTATCTTTGGACCTCAGCTTTCCCAATCCTCAGATCTCAGCCTCCTGAGCAGCTAGGATTATAGGCGTGAGCTGCCAGCACTGAGCGAATGCCATGCTTTGGATGCGTGTGTTGACGGCATCCAAAGCTATTTTAAAGCCGGAGGCCACCTGACAGGTGTGCCAGGCACAATGGCGGAGCCCCAGCTCACCTGAGGTCTGGAAGTCGATCTCGATGGGGTTGGAGCGGCTAGTGGCCGCCTCCCGCCACAGGCTGCCCCCGACCGGCGCCCAGGCAGTCACCACGCAGCGGTACAGCCCGGCATCCGACACCTGAGTCTGGTACATTCGGTAGCGAAACTCGTCTTCCTGTACCTTCTCCAGCACCACGCCCTGTGCCCGTGCGGCATCTGTCCAGTTCCCTGGCCTCACCACCGCATCCTGGTCCAGGGAGACCATGCACCGGGTCTCATTGGGTCCCGGGCCGGCTGTGGCCGTCTTCTCTGCTGTGATGGCCACTGAGTAGCGGGGGGACTTCATGTTCCGGGAGGACACCTTGCAGGTCATCTCAAACGTGCTCCCTGCTGCGAACAGGGGCTTGGGCTGCTGGGCCTTCACCACCAGCACAGAATCTAGAGGGAGAAGCAGGGCAGGTCAGCTCTAGGTTTTTCTAGAAAAATCTAGAAGCGGAGAAGGAAAGAGCACCTGGAGGCCGAGGCAAAGCAGTCTTGAGCCTACGCAGAGACCAGCGATTGCTACGCACAATTTGGCACGGAAGAACTTCAAGTCCTAGATGTTTTACCAAGAGGATTTGGGGAGCCAAAGGTGACATCCCCTTCCCAAGACGGCCAATACAGTTTGGTCCCTGGCGAGGGTGGGAGGGCGCGGGTAGACCTGACGCCCATGCCAGACTGTGGGCCACACCACTACCCTCCTCCCACACTAGGGAAGCCAGTGCAGCCATGACCATTTCATCCATCATGGGACACACTTACGACCAACATGACTGGAGCACGCGCATGGCACTCTGACGTCACACTGAACTGGTGCTTTAACCCCAGAAAAGCTGTTTTGATGTTGAGCCAGGACGCAGTGCTGCCCAAGCAACCTGAGTAAGCCTGCAGCTCACACCCATAACCCCAGTGGCGCAGGAGGCCGAGGTCCCAGAGGCCTCCCTGTGAAGGCCAGGTCTGGCAGAGTCCAGGCCTCTACTCCACCTCCAACTAACCAGCTAAGAGGTGGGCTAGAGTGGTAGAGCACTGCCAGTCTTGAGGTAAAAAGCTAAGGGACAGCACCCAGGCCCTGAGGGACTGCGCTTCAAAGACAGCCTGGGCAGAAAAGCCTATGAGACTCTGTTTCCAGAGAACTGTGGCTCAGATGGTAGAGCACAAGTCAAGTAATCAAGCTGAGTAAACTCAAGGTATTAAGATAAAATCTTGTAACTGACCAAGATAAATGGATAGATAGATAGATGATAAAAATAATGAAGAAAATATCACCCCCACCTTCTGCCGCCCAGAAAATGCTGACAGGTTTGGAGAAGACATCTTTGCTCTTCACCCAACTGTTGTTGGGCTGCCGGGTCCAGGCAGACACAACGCAGAAATAATTGCCCCTGTCGCCCTCCGTTGTCCTTTGGATCCGGAAACTGAACGTGTCCGTGTGCTCCTTTGAAAAAATAAACTCGCCGTCCCGGGCCCGGCGCTTGCTTCTCTCTCCATACCGCAGTGTCCAGTCCCCGTCCATGACGGCCAGGAGCTCGCTGGCTACCGCATCGTCACTGCGCCGGCTCAGCCGGTAGTACCACGACACTGCCAGCCGCACGCGGGCCTCCGCGGGCCGCACATCCACCACCCGGCACTCCAGTTCTGTTGGGTCGTCTGCAAACGCAGGCATGCGGGAGGCGTTCAGGAACACCTGGAAGTCTGGCTCTGAACAGGAGACAGAGAGGCCCCCTTAGAGGTGTTAAGCAACTGGGTACTGGTGGCTCCCACCTGTCATCCCAGCTGCTCAAGAGGCTGAGCTCTGAGGATGGCAGTTCAAAGCCAGCCTGGGAAGGAAAGTCCATGAAACTCTGGTGTCCAATTAAGCAGCAAAAAGCCATTAGTGGAGGTGTGGCTCAAGTGACAGAGCACTAGCCTTGAGTGAAAAAGCCAACTGAGGGCACAAGGCTCTGTGTTCCAGCCCCAGAGAAAGGGAAGGAAGGAAAGAAGGAAGGAGAGAAATCGCTTTGCCCTTTTAAAAATGGTCTACCAGACGGGCACTGGTGGCTCACGCCTGTAATCCTAGCTACTCAGGAGGCTGAGATCTGAGGATCACAGTTCAAAGCCAGCACGGGCAGGAAAATCTGTGAAACTCTTACCTCCAATAAAACACTAGAAAACTGGAAGTGGCGCTGTGGCTCAAATGGTAGAGCGCTCGCGTTGAGCTGAAGAGCTGAGGGACAGTGCCCAGGCCCAGAGTTCAAGCCCCACAATCGACAAATAAAATAAAAATAAAAATGGTCTACCAAGAGGATGCCCTTTTCCCTGGCCGCCATGCCCACGACCCTGGGGTAAGGGGCCCCCTTCCCGGGGACAAGACCTCCTCTGAACTCGAAGTCAGCACCACAGTCCCCGCTCTGATTCCTGTTCACTCAGGGCTGCCTTCGCATGCTGTCCTGTGGCCACAGGGTCCTTCTACCAGACTCCGCCCCAGACCAGGCCGGTCCCACTCTGCCATCTGCAAAGGCGACAGCTGAGATGCTAACGTACTTGCTGAGTCTAAGGAAATTTATTATTTGCATAAAAATGCTCATCTTGGTGATAGCATTTCACCACTGATTACAGCCGCATCCTGCCTGATCTCAATCAAGAAATCAGCTAAGAATGCCATGGTTCTTGGGTTTTAAAATGCTTATCAGTTTGGATGCATGCTAACACATTCAACATTAAAATGAGGTGATAGCCAGAGGTTGGGCATGGTGGTCCGTGCCTGTAATCCCAGCACTTAGGAGGCAGACTCAGGTGGACTGAGTGCAGCGCCAGCTCAGGCTACGTGGTGAGACTTGGACTCCAGAAAGAGAGATGATGTAATCTCAGAAAGTCCTGGAGGCTATGGAAGCCGGCAGTTCCTCCACTATGGGATTTGCACATTTCTATCTATAATATACAAGTTAAAAATACATAATTCATGCCAGAAGGCCCCGGCGGACCTGCAGGAGCAGGCCTCACATTCTGAGGCAGGGATCCGCTCACCAACCAACATGCTGAGCTCCAAGCTGCAATCCTGGACAGAGACCCTCCCTGTAACCTTCTGTTACAAACTGCTCAGACAGTCTGTGCCAGTCCTGGGGCTTGAACCTAGGGCCTTGCATTCTTGCTTAGCATTTTCACTCCAGCTTGGCACACTACCACTTGAACCATACCTTCACTTCTAGCTTTTTGCTGGTTAACGAGAGTCTCAAGGATTTCTTTGCCAGTGCTGTCTTCAAACTGCAATCCTTCAAACTTTCCTTGAGTGGAAAAGCCAAGAACAAAGGTGAGGCTCTGGGTTCAAGCCCCAGTATGGCCACACAAGAAAAAGTTGGGGGGCTGGGAAAGTGGCTCAGTGGTAGAGCGCTTGCCTTGCATGCATGAGCCCTGGGTTCGATTCCTCAGCACTACATAAGCAAAAAGAAAAAAGCCGGAAGTGACACTGTGGCTCCAGTGGTAGAGCACTAGCCTTGAGCTGAAGAGCTGAGGGACAGCGCCCAGGCCCAGAGTTCAGTCTCTACAACCGGACCTCCCCCCCCCAAAAAAAAAGAAAAAGAAAAAGTTGGGGTAATCCTAGACAGACGGCTGATAATTGTCATCCTAAAAACATGCCACACGCAAATATTTCCTCCTGCAGTGATAGAACTCTGCGGTTGCTACCAACTACTTAGCAGATTAAGGGCCCCTTTTAAAGAAAAATAATTACCTTCCTTGGCGGCCGCAGTGGGCAGAGGGGACTGGCAGTGCCCGGCGGAGAATGTAAAGCAGCCTCTCAGCCCCTCCTCCTGCCTGCATCCGCCACCCCGGGAACTTCTCCAATTAACACCGCACCAGGCTGGGGCCTGGGGCCCAGAGCTCAAGCGTGAATGATTCCCATCCACCTCTGCCAAAGGCTCATTAAGACATCCGATGGCAGAAGACATGCCGGTGTACAGATTCTAGCCACACACTAACCAAGACCAACACAAAGCCATCTTTGTCCCTCTAGAGAAATTCAGATTCTTCTAGAAACTCCTTCACACACTTAAGATAGGTGTGTTAGCCAGGTACTACTCCTGTAATCTTAGCTACTCAGGAGGCTGAGATCTAAGGAGCATGGTTCAAAGCCAGCCAAGGCAGGAAAGTCTATGAGACAAATCTTTTTTTTTTTTTTTTTTTTTTTTTGGTCGGTCGTGGGACTTGAACTCTGGGCCTGGGCGCTGTCCCTCAGCTCTTCAGCTCAAGGCGAGCGCTCTACCACTTGAGCTACAGCGCCACTTCCTATGAGACAAATCTTATCTCCAATAACCTATTCAGAAAAAGCCGGTAGTGGAGCTGTGAGTCAAGTGATTGAATGACAACCTAAGTGACAAAATTAAGCAATTAGTCTTGAGTTCAAGGCCCAGGATTGGTGCATGTGCACACATGCATGCACACATCACACACACACACACACACACACACACACACACACACACACGCCCTTGGCTTTGAGAAAGAGCATGTAGGACACCCATATGAACACTTGTTTAGGGCCTGTGTATAAGAAGAGCATTGGAAAGTTCTTTCCATTATCCAGTCTCATGCCTCTGAAGTGAGAGGGCATGTGACAAATTCAGTGCCAAGAAAAAGCTCGTTTTCCTTCCTCGGAGGAATACTATATATCCACATCTCTTTTGGTTTCCAGTCTTCAAACTTCAGAGGCAAACGCAGGCCCTCTCCTGAGTAACTAATTCATCCCAGCTACCTTGCAATATCTATTCTTAAGATTTTTTAAAAATCCCTTTTGATTTTGATTTTATTTTCATGTCTCCTCCTTATGCTTCATTTTGCAAGCCATCTTCAATCTTTGCCCCCTTCAAAGTGGGACATAAATCTTAAGTCAAAACACAAGCATATATGCATGCACGCACGCATGCGCACACGCGTGCACACACACACACACACACACACACACACACACACACACAAAAGATTTCTTTCTCATCCTTTAAAGAAAGCATCATGATTCTGTGGGCTGGTGGCTTACACTGTAATCTTTGCTACCTGGGAGGCTGAGTTCAAGGTTCAAGGCCAGGAGGGACTAAAATAAAAACGATGGGAAACCTAAGATACACAGATCGCCATCCGGTTGCGTACTGAGGCAGATAGTGACTCCCTGCCTGCCTCAAAATATTCAGTGCAAAACAGGGCTAGAGGCCTGGCCAAGTGCAAAGCACCTACCCAGAAAGCAAGAGGCCCCGGGGTTCAACCCCCAGCGCCAGCTAAAAAAATTAATTTTTTGTCGGTCGTGGGGCCTGAACTCTGGGCCTGAGCACTGTCCCTCAGCTCTTTAACTCAAGGCTGGCGCTCTACCACTTGAACTACAGCGCCACTTCTGGTTTTCTGGTGGTTTACTGGAGATAAGAGTTACAGGGACTTTCCTGCCCGGGCTGGCTTTGAACCATGATCCTCAGATCTCAGCCTCCTGAGTAGCTAGGATTACAGGTGTGAGCCACCAGTGTCCGGCTTCAAAAAAATTATTGAATAGATAGATCAAACAGTGGTAGATTCCATTTTCCAAAGATGTAGCATCTCCCCCACATAGCCTCCGTCCCTGTGACCTTGTGCCCACAAAGGGAGCCTTACCCCCAATCCCTGATCTTGGGAGGACCCTGGATGGCTCTGAGCAGCAGGAGAAAACAGAGGGTGAGCCGGCTGGTCTCATGATACTGCAGCCCCTTGCTTTGTGTGGGAAGGCAGAGATGAACCCCATGGGGCTGTCCTCTGTTCCTGACCCTCAAACTCACAAGCAAGATAAAAACCAGAACTTCATTTTCAGACAATGGTAGGGAGCAGGATGTAAGCCGGGGTCTGTACATCGCATGCCAAGCCCCAACAGTAATTATCATTACTGTCATCATCACTTTTGTTGTTGTTGTTGTTGGTCATGGGGCTTAAACTCTGGGTCTGGGAGCTGTTCCTCAGCTCTTCAGCTCAAGGCTAGTGCTCTACCACTTGAGCCACAGAGCCACTTCCGGTTTTCTGGTGGTTCATTAGAGGTAAGAATCTCATGGACTTTCCTGCCCAAGCCGGCTTTGAACCTTGATCCTCTGATCTCAGCCGCCTGAGTAGTTACTAGCATTACAGGCTTGAGCTACAGGTACCTGGCCAATTTTTATTCTTAATCTGTTAGGTGGCAAAATTGAGTTTTCTGTTATATCTGTGTAGGAATCCAGTGTGCCTCGTTTCCCCCTTTCTCTTTCTTTTACGCTGGGGATTTGAACCTGGCCTCCTGTTTGCCAGGTAAGAGTTTAACCACTTGTGCCATACTCCCCCTCTTGGGCTTTAGTTTGTTATTACAGGGTCTCATACTTGCTCAGAATCAAGCTCACCTCAGACTGCCAGTGCCTCTCAAGTAGCTGGGATTACAAGTGTGAGCAACAGAGCCTCGCCCACAGCTTAGTGTTATATCTTCTCATTCTGGAGAATACAGCACCCCCTCAAGAGCCCCCAGAAACCTCTCCCATGATGTATCAGGGGCCCATCATCCCAGCACTTCAAAGAAACCCTGGAATCGGGTACACAGGCAGCCAAAAAGGGCTGGGACTCAGCACAGGGACCTGACAGCCTGGTCACACGTCACAGGGGGTCAGAGCCAGGAGAGAAATTCTGCTGCAGTGATGACAGCCCCCATGGCATGTGTCTGTTTATTGGGAGGTTGCTAAGGAGTCCCGGCTGGCCAACTTCCCCGCAGCTCAGTGCTCTCCTTAGAGTTCAGGCCAGGCTGGCCTCCTCGCCCTTCCCCGTATCACAAGGACAATGATGGACAGGGCTGGCTCCAGCGCAGCTCACTGCCCCTGCTGCTCTTCACCCTCTGCCCCCACTCAGTCCCCACTTGTCAGCCCCATCCTTTGCCAGTTAAAGGAACACAGAGCAGTGAATCCAACACCCATGCAATTGGAGGTCTCACGCAGATGAGGCACGTGAACAGCAAGAAGCCACGGCCTGACCTTTAAAGTAAGGTCTGCCTCCTAGGAACCAGAGCCACGTCCACGCGTGCAGACAGACCACAGAGATGAAACTCGAGCCAGGCACGTCTCACTGAAACACACCTTGTCTTTCTAACAAGCCACATGGAGGGGAGGCGTCTGCACGCACAGACGTCCTCAGGTTCTTGTTCGACACTAATGAGGCAGGGGCCCACGCGGGTGCCCCTCCCCCCCCATGAGCTAACAGAGGGCAGAGCTGGGGAGTGAGGCCAGGAGACAGAAGACACACGGGTGACATGTGGCCTGACAGAGACGACAGATGACAAATAACCATGAAGAAGCAGCCAGGTCCTGCATGGAAACCAGGTCAGCAACCGAAGTCACTGTGGAGCTGGGCAGGGTGGCTCAGGCCTGTAACCCCAGCTGCCTGGGAGGCTGAGGTCTGAAGATCACAGTTCAGAGCCAGGCCAGGCAGGAAAGTCTGTGAGACTCTTATGTCCAATTAACCACTAAAAAGTTGGAAGAGAAAATGTGGTTCAAGTGGTAGAGTGCTTACCCTTGAGCGCAAAAGCTCAAGGACAGCTCCCACATCCTGAGTTCAAGCCCCAGGACCAGCACTAAAAATAAAATAAAATTAAAAAATAAATAAATAATCTTCTTCCCAACCCAGCTTTAGAAAGCAGAAGTCCATGCCCCGGAGCACAGGGGAGTCCAGAAGAAGAAGCGGGACTGCAGCCCCCCTTCCAAAAAAGATCCATTTCTTGTTCTTTCTTTGGTCTGGGGGGTGGGAGGGGAGGCACGAGGGCTTGAACTCAGGGGCTGGGCGCTGGCCCTCAGTATAGTATTTCACTCAAGGCTGATGCTCTACCACTTGAGTCACAGCTCCACTTCTGGTTTTCTGGTGGTGTGTTAGAGATAAAAGTCTCACAGATTTTCCTGCCCAGGGCTGGCTTTGAGCCGTGATCCTCAGATCTCAGCCCCCTGAGTAGCTGGGATGACAGGCGTGAGCCAACACGCCTGTCTTGACCTGCACATCTCTACATCGAAAGGAAACGCTACACTCTCAAAGAGGGCAGAGATGAAGACAGGCACACTTTCTAAGTACCACCCCTGTCCCCCGACTCTGCCCCCCCTGCCTTCCTTTGCCTTCCAGCCTGGGATCTGTTCTGATCAGAAGACTGTCTCAATACACAATCCTCAGCACCCAGACTCCTGCAGAGGCCGGGAGGCAGGAACTGGCAATTCGCCACACCACTCACCCAGCCATGTGACGTCCACACTGGCCGGCGCAGACCTGGCCTCCGCCACCTTGTGCCAGCTCCGGTTGTGTCCCAGGGTCCAGAGCGCCACCTGGCAGAAGTAGTAGCCGGCACTGTCCCTGCTCACATCCCGCACGAGGAGATGGTAGGACCGCATGTCCGTGTGACTCAGAGCCACGCCAGGTGCGCTGTGCACTAGGGAGGTGCGGTCCAGCTGGGCCAGCATGCGGGAGGCGGGCAGGGCGCCATCGGGCGAGCGGCTGAAGTACCAGGCCACCTCGGGGCGCACGTCGTCGGCGCGGTCCGTGCTGATGTTGCAGGCCAGGTCCAGGTCCGTCCCCTCGGCCACTGACACGTTCCGGGCCACGGCAGCACGCAGCACTGGAAGGGCAAAAAGAAAACTCTCGAAGAGACCCGGACTACAGCCAGCTGCCCTGCTTCCAAAGCCCAACCCCTGCCTCCTTAGGCAATCACTTTCCTTTTGGCTTTTTGTCAGTCATGGGGCTTGAACTCACTGCCCAGACACTGTCCCCAAGCTTTTTCTCACAGATCACGCTCTACCACTTTGAGCCACAGCACCACTTCTAGTTTTCTGGTGGCTCACTGGTGATGAGAGTCCCACAGATTTTCCTGCCCAGGCTGGCTTTGAACTGTGATCCTCAGATCTCAGCCTCCTGAGTAGTTAGGATGACAGGCGTGAGCCACCAGCCACCTGGTTATTCTTTTTCTTTTCTTTTTTTAAAGCCGATGCTGGGGCTTGAACTCAGAGGTCTGAGCATGATCCCTTACTTTTTCCGCTGCAGGTGGATGTTCTACCACTTGAGGCACAGCTCCATTTCCTGCTTTTTGGTGGTTGGAGATGAGAGTCTCCAAGGACTTCCCTGCCCCAGCCTGCTTAGAACCCGAATTCTCAGATTTCAACCTGAGTAGCTAGGATTACAGGCGTGAGCCACCAGTGCCCGGCCAATCATCTCCTTTGAAATTCGAACTCACATTATGAAAATTAGACAGCTTGTACGGTTGCTAGGGATTTCAGGAATATTTAATGTATTCATTCATAAAACATACTAGATTCCCTTTCATATTCTATATGCTTGGTATGTTCTTAATGCTTCATTTATTTTATTCATCATCTCCAATTCAAAGCTCAGGGACAGCGCCCAGGCCTTAAGTTCAGGATAGGCACAGAAGAAAAAACAAGGAAGGAAAGACATAGAAGAAAATTGGAAGATCCTTGGCCCTGTGTGCCAACGCTGCCTGGCTTGTGCATAGGTCCTGAGGTAGATCCCCAGAGCTTCAAAGCACACAACAGAGCCAAGGAGGTGAAATCAGACAATTGTCTTTCTGAATCAACTTCTCCCTCCTCAATTGATTTATTCGCTCTGTCTACCTGAAAGCCAGCCAGAGGCCCGGAATCCTGAATCCTGAAGAGCAATGAGTTTGGGATTATCCACACCACTGCCCCCTTGCGCTAGTGGGTGTAATTAAAAGTCGACTATATTTAGATGAGACACGCAAGAATTTGCTGTCACATACAAGACAGATCTAGCCTCAGCGTCCTCCTGTCAAAGCTTTTCAAATGGAAAACGCTGTGTGGCATGCAGGCAAATTTTTAAAAGACGTTGAACATCTGTAATGGGAGTGGAAAAGCAGCCGACAGCGTGCTCTCCAAGTGATCAGTGGATGAACAGTCCCAGGGGAGGCCCAGCCCTGGCCATCTAGCCAAAGTCACTCTTCCTGTGTCCCCAGGAAGCGAAGGGATAGGGGTCTGCTGCTCAGGTCACAAAAGGCCCAACGCAAAGTCTTGGGTATCTGTCATGGCCACAACTGGCTTCTGAGCTGCTGTGGGGACAAGGTCAGCATCACCTTGAGGCTGAAGCGCTTCGTGGTGGGCACAAGAGCACACAGAGAAGTCCAGCATCCTCTTCCACCCCATCCTACTCCACACATTTGCCAAGTTCCTCCTCCTCCATCCCTTCAAAAGTAATAGTAATTTGGGGAACATTGGGGGAACAATTGGGGAACATTGTGTGTGTGTGTGTGTGTGTGTGTGTGTGTGTGTGTGTGTGTGTGTGTGTGTAATAGGGGTTGAACTGAGGGCCTGAGCGCTGTCCTCAGCTTTTTTACTCCAGGTTGGCACTCTACCACTTGAGCCACAGCTCCACTTCCAGCTTTTTGGTGGTTCATTGAAGGTAAGAGTCTCATGGACTTTTGAACTGCGATCCTCAAATCTCTGTTTCCTGAGTTAGCTGGGGTGAGAGGGGTGAGCATAGGTGCCTGGCTTTGGGGTATCTTTTGAAAGTGGTTCAGAGCATTTAGCAATGAGCAGCTGAGGCAGCTCCTATCTCCTGGACCGCCCTGCATACCATGCTTGTGGTCACAGGGTAAAAGATGGCTCCGGAGAAAAATGGCTGCATGATCACCTCGATTAACTTTCCCTAACCTATCCCATTTTTCCCCACTGTGAATGAAAACAAACCCTTGTGGTACGATGGTCCCCGGAGGACTTGGCCACCACCCCAGAGTGGTAAGACAGCCGCCACAGGTGTCAGGAGACAGGGCTGACGCGCCTGGCCACCCACAGCTCACAGCAGTGAGCTGCCATCCACTCCAGCGACTGGTGTTAATAAAGAGGGACAGCATTACCACAGAACAAATTCGTCTTGAAAATATTTTGACAAGTAGTTCAATAAAATTGTTTTCCACTGTCAACTTGTAGTGTTGTCTTTTATAAATTAAAAGACACATTAATTCAGAGAAAGGATCTATTAGCTTCTAAAGACTGTTAAAAAGGTCCCATGACACACAAAAAAATAAACATCAGCAGGCTGGGCCTTGAGCCTCATGCTGGTAATACCAGCTAATCAAGAAGCTGAGGTAGAAAGAGCACAAGTTCCAGCCCAGCCTAGGAAACCCAGCAAGACTCTTACTTATGTATAAAAATATAACAAACTTAGCCAGATTCCATAATCTTGAGGCCCCGTAGTCCTAGCTATTCAAGAGGTTGAGATCTGAGGATCGTGGGTCTGAGCCAGCCTAGGCAGAGAAATCTGAAAGACTCTTTTATCTCCAATTAATCAGCAAAAGGCTGGAAGGTGGGTTGTGGCTCAAGTAGTAGAGCAACAGCCTTGAGGGAAGAAGTCAGTCAAGAGCATAAAGCCCTGAGATCAAGTCTCAGTACTGGTACATGCATGCACACACACATGCACACACATGTGCGCGCACACACAAAAAACTCGATAGATCACAGCTTTAAACAAATGTGCCCCTCCCCACACTGCTCCCAACCTCACCAGAAAGCTGCAACACATAGGCAGCAGAGGTGGGTCACAGGTATGCACACACATGCACAGGAGGGCAACCTGTTCACACATGCATGCACACACATGTGCACAGGAGAGCAGCCTGTCCACACATTCACGCACACACACGTGCACAGGAGGATGGCCTTTCCACATATGCACACACACATATGTGCACAGGAGAGCAGCCTGTCCACATATACACACGCACACACACACATGCACAGGAAGGCAGCCTGTCCACACATGCACGCACACACGTGCACAGGAGGATGGCCTGTCCACACATGCACCATGCATACATGTGCACAGGAGGACAGCCTGTCCACATATGCACACATGTGCACAGGAGGGCAGCCTGTCAGCACATGCACATACACATGTGCAGAGGGCAGCCTGTCCACACATGCACTCACAACAAATGCACAGGGGGACAGCCTGTCCACACAGGCACACATGTGCAGAGGGCAGCCTGTCCACACGCATGCACGCACACACATGTGCACAGGAGGGCAGCCTGTCCGTGCACATGCACGCACACATATGTGCACAGGAGAGCTGCCTGTCCACACATGCACACACATGTGCACAGGAGGGCAGCCTGTCCACGCACATGCACGCACACACGTGCACAGGAGGGCAGACTGTCCACACACATGCACGCACACACACGTGCTCAGGAGGGCAGCCTGTCCCTGCACAAGCGCGCACACAGCCCCGCGGGCCCCGCCCCCACTCACCTGTGGGCCGAATCACCACGGCCGCCACCTCCACCGCCTTTTCCTGGATCTCCTGCCAGGCGCCACGCTCGGCGATCCACTCGCCCACCACACACCAGTAGGCGCCCTGGTCGGCGGCCAGCGCGGGGTCCAGCGCCAGGCGGAAGCCGTCGGCGCCGTCGGTGCCCAGGCGCACGGCGCCCACGCGGTACCGCTGCTCGTAGCCGGGGCCCGCGCGCAGCCGGCCCAGGTGCGTGAGCGCCAGCACTGTCCGGCGCTCGGGCCCGCGCCGCAGCTCCCAGCGCAGCGCCAGGTGCGTGTGCGGCGCGGGCGGCACGGGCGCGGGCGAAGGTGAGGCCTCAGGCGCTGGGGTCGGGGACGAGGAGGCCGCGCACCGCAGCTCCACGGGCTCTCCCTCCCGCAGGCTCAAGCTGGGCGCGGGCCGCTCCGTGGGGCCCACCCTCAGGGCGTCAGCCAGCACTGTGGAGAGAGGGGGTGGGCCGGTGAGGGACCCTGCACAGCACCCATATGCAAAACCCTGTACCAGCACTTGCATACTAGACCCTGCACAGCACCTGTGTGTAAGACCCCAGGCCCTTAAGGACCAGAGGATTCTAGTCCTGGGCTAGGGACAAGGCTGCTATTTCCTACTCCCAGAAGGGAAAGAAGGAAAAAGAAAAGCCAGGGAGTGGTAGCTAGCACCTTAATCCCAGTTACTCTAGAGGCAGAGATCTGAATAGTACAAAGCCAGCCCAGGCAGAAAAATCCAGAGTCTTCTCTCTCACCAGCAAAAAAAAAGCCAGAGACAGAGCTGTGGCTCAAGTGGAGAGTGTCAGCTTTGGGCAGAGGAGCTAAGGAAAGCACCCTGCCCCTGGGTTCAAGCCCCAGGACTGGCACAGAGCATACAAACAAAAATCACTGAGGATTTCCTACAGGAATAAGGAAGACGTAATGGGTGAGGTATATTTAATGTATGAAGGCTTTAATTCATAGTTTCTCATGCACATGGCTGGAACTTTATGGAGGGAATCGTATCTGAGGTGTAGCGCCTTCTCCAATCACTGCTCAATCAATGCTATCTTCCATAGCATAATTTAATCATGGCTATCTCTATTCCAATCCAAATCTTCATGGGAACAAGCAAAGGCAAGGAGAAATGCAGGATTAATATAAAATAATAATAATATCGTTTCTATGTTGAGAGCCTCAAATTAAAATGGTTTGTTCTTGCTCATTTACTAATTAGCTGGGTGATTTGAGGCAAGTAATTACGTATGTTCTTTCATTTCTTTTGTGTGTAAATTATCCTATCCTATCCTCTTCACTGGAGTCAGAGACTGAATGTGGGAGCAAATCTACTTGGAGCACAAAAACCATAAAAGACAAGAGGAGGCTCGGTGCATGCCGCGGCTCATCCCAGTAATCCTGGTTGCTCAGGAGGCCAAGAACTGAGGACCAAGGCTCCAAAGCCACCTGGGCAGGGGAGTCTGAAAGGCTCTTATCTCCAGTTAACCTGCAAGAAGCTTTAAACTGCAGTCAGGTCAACGAACTCGGGGTGAGCAAATAGTTCTTTCTACAGAAGACTCACAACTTCCAGGGTGACAGGTATTTAAGCTGTGAAGGTCACAGGAGGTGAACCGTGCAGGATCAGCTATTCCTATCAACTCTGATGCTACTGTGGGACAACAATTTCCTGCCACTAGCCAGTGATGGGATGGCACTGCTCTCGGTCCTGGCCAGGGTTACCTCGCCAGTCCCCACACCTCTGAGAAGAGGAGGAAGCTGGGGTACGGAACACGCCCACCACCATAGAGCTGACAAATGGCAGTGCCAGTCATTGGGCCGGGTGCCAGCCACCTGGCTGGGGCACTGCACTGCTGGCAGGGTCCTACACTGCCTGCATCTCGTGGGCCAGGAGCCCCATCACCCGCAGGGAAGAGGAAGGGCGGCTGGAGGTCAGTTGGCTCACCTTCTTTCCCTGCCAGCATCTGGGGCTTGAACTCAGGGTCTGGGCATTGTTCCTTAGCTCTTTCTGCTCTAGGCTTGTGCTCTACCACTCGGGCTGCACCTCCACTTCCAGCTCTTTGCTGGTGAAATGGAGATGAACGTTTTGGCAACTTTTCTGCCTGCGCTGTTCTGAAGTGCGATCTCCAGATCTCAGCCTCCCCAGGAGCTGGGATCACAGACAGGCGTGAAGCACGCTGCCTGAGCCGGGTGCGGCACACGGCCAGTGGCAGCGGTGCCAGCCTACCTTTAACCTGCACCGTGTCCTCATAGTTGCCCTGGACTGTGGCGTCCGTGCTGGGCGTGGAACACTTGTACAGGCCCTGGTCTGATGGCTGGACGTTCTTGATGTGCAGCTCCACAGCGTCGTTGGCCGTCCTCCTCAGCACCACCTGGCCAGTCCGCAGCCGCTCCCGGTAGGGCTGTGCGGGGAAGCCCGCCTCCCACGTGCTGGCCAGCTCCACGAAGCCGCCGCTGCCGCCAGGGGACGAGAAGCTCCAGTCAAAGTTCTGCTCACTGGGGCCATCATAGTCGCTGACGTTGCAGGGGATGACCAGCTCAGTGCCCACCACTCGGACCAGGGCCCCCGCGGGGACTTGTACCACTCGACCTCGACACACAGCTGTAAGGACAGGAGATGAGAGGCAGGTGCTTAATCCTGGAGAAATCTCCCCCGGAGTGAAGGAGGCAACCAGAAATGTTTGGTCACAGGGCAGATGGTGGCGTACGAGTCTCTGGGATAAACGGGGCTCCACAAGAGGGTGAGCAAGCAGATGGCGCAGGAATCGGTACCTCCACAGCCAGCTCTCCAGCACTGGCCACGAAGATCAAGTTCTAGAGGTAGTTAAGCACATCCCAGGCTGGTAGATCACACTGGTCATCCCAGCTCATTAGGAGGCTGACATTAGGATCCTTGTTCAAAGCCAGCCTTGGCAGGCAAGTTCATGAAACTCTTATCTCCAATTAACAAGCAAAAACCAGAAGTGGAGCTATAGCTCAAGTGGTTGAGCACCCCCATCTTGAGTGAAAGCAAGAGCCAAGCAAGAATGAAAGCCCCCTCCCCCACCGAGTTCAAGCCTCAGTACCAACAAGTGCGTGTACCCACATTCACACACATGAAAAGTAGGCTAACCGTAAACCCAAATAATTCAGTCCATCCCATTACCATTTCACATACCATTATCACTCAATATGATGTAGCACAATTTAGCTAATCAAGTATTTACATTCCCGCCCACCTTGCACTGGCCTCCTCCCTAGAGATCGCTCCCCCAGCTCCCAGGACCCCATTTACAGTGATGGATGCCAATATTTTAAGTCCTAGAATGGCCTGCTGATATCATGATTTAACTCCGGTTGTCTGACATCGCCTGTAAATTAATTTTGAAATATGACAATTCTACCAAGTATTAATTTTCTATTTTCTGGCTCATTTCCTTCTCTCCACTTTTCACCCTAATCTAAATTCGGAGCGCAGATGAGAAGCCACGCAGGAAGGGGGGCTGCGGTGGTTTTGGGCTTTGGGACAGATGGACAGGGGGTTGGGGGTCTGCTGTCCCCTGCACACACACACACACACACACACACACACGTGTATGTGTGTGTGTGTGTGTGTGTGTGTGTGTGTGTATTACAGACCCTGACAGCAGGGTCCTTGGGGAATGGCACCATGCACATTTTTAATTTACATTGTATTTTTATTATCATTAAGTAGTTGTACAAAGGAGCTGTGAGTCCCTTAGAAGGCACTGAGGCTCAAGCCTGAAATCCTAGCTACTCAGAAGGCTGAGATCTGAGGATCATGTTCAAAGCCAGCCCAGGCAGGAAAGTCCATGAGACTCTTATCTCCAATTAATTAACCAGCAAAAAGCCCGAAGTAGAAATGTGGCTCAAGTGGGAAAGCACCAGTTAGAAGCAAAAAAGCCAAGCAAGAGTAAGAGGCCCAGAGTTCAAGTTCTAGTAACACACACACACACACACACACACTCACACACACTTAAAGGGGGCGGGGAGTAACTAGACCCAGACACACACCAGGAGAGGATCGGAAGAGCAGGGCACACAGACAATAAGGTAACAGGAACTTGGGAACCCCGAGCGCCATGGCTGTCTGTGCTGGGCTGTCTGGTTGTGCTGTGCTGGCTCCTGCACAAGGCTCTCTGGGGTCTCAAATCCCGCTGCTGCCCATTTGTGGGTTGTGTCATGAACTGATGGTGGTTGTGAGCGGACAGGTGTGGTTTGAAGATGGAGTTTTAAATGAACAGAAACCATTACAGTGCACAGTGCTTAGCAAGGGAGAAACACTGTTCGATGAGGGAGTATTTTGTTAAATAATCAAAGCTATGCCCATGTCAGATCAGGGTGACAACCTAGCACCTTGGGCAGGGGGTTGACATCAGGCACTGGGGCTCATGCCAGTAATCCTAGCACTATACAAAGCAGAGATCTAGAGGATCATGGTCTGAAGTCCGCCTGAGCAGAAGAATCCAGGAGACTATGTCCAATTAATGAACAAAAGCCGGATTGGCAGTGTGGCTCAGCGCAACAGCCCTGGCCTTGCATGTGCCAGACCCTGGGTTCCATCCCTAGCCCAAGAAAATAGGTAAAGAAATAAAATGTCCCACATCTGTCCTCCCAGCCGTATGGAAGGCTGAGAGAGATCACCTGAGCCTAGGAATCCACGGCTAGACCAGGCAATGCAGTGAGACCCCATCTCAAAAATATGTACGTATTTTTTAAAGTAGGTAGCTGAGAAGAACTACCATCACGCATCTCCCTCTGATTACGGGAGGACTTAAGAGTTCTGGAACACACTACTTTCTAAGGCAACTGGGCTGCCAAGTGATTGTTAGGTTTTTAAAAAGAGGTTGCCGAGTAAGAACTGCACCAGTACGCACGTGGTATTCAGGTGAGAGGTAGGTTTATTCAGTAGACCTGCTGGGACCAGGCAAGGTTGGCACTCCACGTGGCTGGGAAAGAGAGAGGAAAGAGCTAGAGCAGAGAGAGAGCAGAGAGAGCTAGAAAAGAAGAGCAAGAGAGCATCTGGGCCTGGGCTAGGCCTTATGTATGGTATGGGCGGGGAAAGGTGTGGCCACATCAAATTCAGATGTGACCTCAGCAGATGCAGATGTGATGTCTTCCAGGTGTCCCAGTTGCCTAGGTAACGCAGGTACTGGGTGGAGACTTTGCTGCGAGGAGGGTGGAGTCTGCTTGCCATCCAGGGGCGGACCTTACAGTGATAACCGCAACTCCTCACCCCTACCCCCACCAAGTTCACAGCCTGACCAAGACAGCCGCCCCTCAGAGGGGCTGACGCTGCAGCTCCAGTCACAAGAACGGGAGCCAGGGCCGAAACCACGGACATTCCATGTCTGTTCTCTTTAGCTGAAGCTTATCACTTCTGTTGGGGGGAGAAGGGGTACTAGGTACAAGGAAGACAAGTTACTCTAAAGCCGCACCCAGGCAGCCCTCAGGCCTGACCACAGGAGGAAGCCATCCATCTAAACAGGCCTGGCCAGGTGTGGTGGCTCACACCTGTCATCCTAGCAACTCAGGAGTCTGAGATCTGAGGATCGCCCAGGCAGGAAAGTCAGTGAGACTCTTCTCTCCAATGAACCACCAAAAAGCTAGAAGTGGAGTCATGGTTCAAGTCCTAGAGTGCCAGCCTGAGCAAAAAAGCTAATGAACAGCACCCAGGCTCTGAGTGAAAGCCTCAGGACCAGCACGCGCACACAAGAGGAAGGGAGGGAGGGAGGGGAAAAAAGAAAAGAGGCCTAGACCAGGCCTGCATTGCAGAAGTGAGCTGATGATTGATTGCACCAGAGGCCCTGGACCGACACCCTCTACCCCCATCCCCCCCACCTCCAGGCCTGGCTATTACTTTCACACAGATACACAGACATGTGCAAACACACACACTCTCTCTCTCTCTCTCTCTCTCACTGGCCTCTTCAGTTTCTTGCAATTCTGCCCCCCTTCACTAAGATGTCTAAGCTCCTTTCCCCGACTAGCAACTCCAAACTATGAAAACAACACCTTTCTGCCCAGCACTGGCCAACTGTGTGGCACAGTCATCACCACTGCTCCAAACAGGAAGCAAAGGGTTTGTTTCCCCCATTAACCAGATAGTTGAAAATCCACCTATGAGCTCCTTCAGAGCTAAGCATCACAGTGGAGCTCTGGGAGGCCACTGGGCCCCTAATCCTCCATGTCTGGGGTGTGGAGACAGTGCCGGTGGCCACGCCCCCAGGGGTGTGGTCAGCACAAATGAGCATTCCTGACAGTGCCTGGTGAGAATCTGCATGGATCTGCAGCCATCCTAGAAGAAACTCCACCATAACCCGTTACCTTGCTTCCTGGGCAAGGTTTATAGAGAAAGCAATTTCCAGAGATGTAAGCTTTATCGGTTCCTTTTCCTTGCCAAAAAATTAGCTTGAGCAAGGTACTGATGGCTCACACCTGTCATCCTAACTACTCAGGAGGCTAAGATTTGAGAATCCTAGTTCAAAGCCAGCCTGGGCAGAAAAGTCTGTGAGACTCTTACCTCCAACTATCCACCCAAAAGACCAGAAGTAGAACTATTGCTCAAGCAGTAGAGTGCTAGCCTTGAGTGAAAAAAGCTCAGGACAGCGCCTAGGCCCTGAGTTCAAGCACCAAGAATGGCACAGAAGGAACAGGCTGGACAGGCTTGGAGACTGTGGGAGGTTTCTTCCGTATTTCTGGGAACTGCAGCTTGGAAATGAGTCCAACTCATTCTCTTGATTCTCCAATCCTTCTCCCACATGGCTGCCAAAATCCTCTGTCTCTTTTGGCAGTGCTGGGGTTTGAACTCAGGGCCTCATGCTTGCTATGCTGGCACGACCCTACTGAGCCCCCCTGTAGCCCAGATTCCTGACATGTGGCGGGGGTCTCACTGCTCACCCCTGTGGGCCTCCTCTCACCGCACCCAGCCTCGCTCCATAGAGGGAAAGTCCTGTGCACTGTTTCTATCTGGGTTGGCCTGAAACCATAATCTTCGTAATCTCACCCTTCCACGTAGCATGGGATGATGGGTGTGTGCCACGCACTGAGCGAGGGGTTCTGCCCACAATCCTCCCATTCTCAGCCTCCCACAAGCAGCTGGGATTCTAGGAATGGGTCTCCAGTGCCCACCTTCAAGCACCTTTTAAGAGATAAATTCAAGCCTAGTGCACACCAGTGGCTCACGCCTGTAATTCTAGCTACTTAGGAGGCTGAGATGAGGATCACAGTTCAAAGCCACCACAGGGAGGAAAGTCCCTGTGAGACTCTTATCTCCAATTAACCACTTAAAAAAAACAGAAGTGGTGCTGTGACTCAAGTGGTAGAGCACTGGCCTTGAGCTGAAGAAATGAGGGACAGCGCCCAGGCCCAGAGTTCAAACCCCACTACTGACAAAAAAAAAAAAAAAGCAAATCCAATGTCATTCCACTGATTGAGATTCCTCAATGTCTGCTGAGCATCTGTAATGGCCTCCAGCCACCCCTGTCCAGGTCTCTGCCTCTCCCCTGCGCACCAGAGCAGCCCAGAGCCTTCCCACCTTTCCACTCCCTGCAAAGTGATCTCCTAAAAACTTGAGGGATTTTTGTTTTGTGCCTCTACTGG